GAGGTCTCACTGTGCTGCCCAGGCTGGTCTTGAACTCCTACCATCAGGTAATCCTCCTGCCTCTGCCTTCCAAAGTGCTAGGATTATAGGCTTGAGCCACTTGTTTTATATTTTTCGTATCCACCCTTTATCAGCTTAAGAAAGTTTACATTTCTAGTTTATATTTCTGGTTTGCTAAGAGATCATTTTTAAATTTTTAAAAATAATTTCACACTTAAACATAAAAAGTTTCAAGAAGAGTAGAATTCCTGTATATCTTCACTCAGATTCATTAGTTAAGCTTTTGCTACGTTATCTTTATCATTCTGTATTTTTATGCTGTTTTTATCTGAACCATTTAAGAGTAAGTTGTAGACGTAATGTTGCTTTTCCCTTAAATATTTCAGTGTGCATTTTTCTAAGAATAAGGGCATTTACCATTTACTCATATAATCGCAGTATAATTACCAAATTCGGGAAAATTTAACTGATATAATACTGTTATCAAATATATAGGTTTTAATAAAATTTTGCCAATTGTCCTAATAATGTGCTTTATATCTTCTTTTTTGTGTGTGCATCTTTTGGATCCAGAATCCAGCCCAGCACCACGTATTATATTCAGTTTTCATGTTTCTTTAGTCTCTCAGCCTAGTTTCTCAGCCTTTTTTTGCCTCTTATGATATTGACATTTTTGAAGAGTACAGGTCATTTATTTTGTAAAATAAACTTGGTTTACTAAGAGTTTTTTCAGTCATCAGTGAGGTCTGATTTTGTATGCTTCTTTTATATCCAATGAGATTATCAGATGGTTTTTCTCCTTTAAAAGTCCTTTTTAAACTTTCTGTAAATTTTAAAACTTCTGTGGTCATGAAATATAACACATACAGAAAATTGGGTCAATCATACATATAGAGTTTAAGGAAATTTTGTGAAGCAAATGCCCATGTAACCACTTACCGAAGTCAAATAATCTTACTTTGCCTGGCATCCTGAATTACCCTCCCCACTTCCTGATTACTTCCTCCTCCCTACCAAGCAATAACCACTGTCTTGATTTTTATGTTAATCACATCCTTCATTTTCTTGCCCATTTGTATCTACCTCCAAACATTGTAATTTAATTTTATTGTTTCTGAACTTGAAATGTGTGAAGACATATGGGATATATTACTTTATAAATTTTGCATATAGCTTGAGTTTGTTCCTTTTGTGTTAAATAACCATGTTCTTGATTATACTAGCATTTATGCATCTACGGTTTTTAGAGAAATTTAAGTTTTTTGACTACTATGAACAATTTTGCTATGAATAATCTTGTTTGTGTGTCTGAGGGCACTTAAGTATGCATTTCTATAGGGCTTGTGTCCAGGAAAGAACTACTGTGTGGTGGGGTATGCTTACCTTCTACTTGAGTAGGTAACGCCAGTTTTCCAAAGTGGTTGTATCAGTTTACCCTCCTACCTTTGCCTTACGTTTTGTCTGCCAATTGATACTGTTAGATTTTTAAATTTTAGCCATCTGATAGTATATGTAACACTTAATGATTTGAATGTGCATTTTCCTTACTGTGAGTATGAACACCTTTTCCTGTGTTTGTTGGACATCTGTATTTCTTTTTTGTGCAGTACCTGTTCAAATCTTTTGTTGGAGGGGTAGGGAGAAGATGGATTGTCTTGTCTTTTTCCTATTGATTTGTGGGAGTTCTGTATATATTCTAGATTTCAAACCTTCGTTAGTTATGTGTGATAAACATCTTCCCTCATTCTGTGGCTTGTGGTTTAACTCCTTTATGATTCATTTTAATGTAGTTAAATTTATCAGTGTTTTCCTCTATACTTAGTGTATTTTGAAGCTTCTTTCTCTATTCTTTTATATTGCTTTAAAGGCTTTGGTTTTTTTTTTTCACCTGTCTGAAACTAATTTTGTTTATTGTGTGAAAGATGGGTCAAGCTTCATTTTCCTAGTCGTCACAGTACCATTTATCAAAAGTACATTCTTTCCTCACAGCTCCGGAGTGCCACCTCCGCTGTAGTCCAGTCTCTGTTAATGAACAGGCTGTCTGGACTCTGTCCTCTCTTCCAGCGGTACATTTGTCTCCCTCTCAGCCAATACCACATTGTCTTGATTACTACAGATTTATAGTAAGTCTTTTTTTTTTCTTTTGAGACAGAGTCTCACTCTGTTGCCTGGGCTAGAGTGCCATGGTGTCAGCCTAGCTCACAGCAACCTTAAACTCCTGGGCTCAAGCAATCCTTCTGCCTCAGCCTCCCGAGTAGCTGGGATTATAGGCATGTGCCACCATGCCCGGCTAATTTTTTCTGTATATTTTTAGTTGTTTGGCTAATTTCTTTCTATTTTTAGTAGAGATGGAGTCTCACTCTTGTTCAGGCTGGTCTCAAACTCCTGACCTCTAGCCATCCTCCCGCCTTGGCCTCTGCCTCCCAGGGTGCTAGGATTGCAGGTGTGAGCCACCACACCCGGCCCTATAGTAAGTCTTGATATTCCATAGAGTAAGGCTTCCCACCTTGTTTTTCTTCTTTGACATGTCTGTCATTCTTGGTCCTTTGTATTCCCATATAAATTTTAAATCCAGCTTGTCAGATGCTAACAAAACAAAACACAACACCTATTAGGATTTTGAATGGTTTTGCATTGAATCTGTAGGTCAAT